TTAACCATTGTTTCGCCCTCTCTTTAAACTCGAGCTCTTCAGCAGGTGTTGTGGCATCGCAAGGTAACCGTGACGTAGCATGATAGGAGGCACAGACCCGTTATAATGATGCAGCAATGAGGTTTAATGGGGCTGAAAACGCAGTCTGACTTGCTGGCAGGCTACACAGTCAGGGAGAGGCACAGTTGGTGTGCTGTTTCCAGCGCATGACAGATGTTATGGAGCGAGAGGGGGGGGGGGAGCGAGAGACAAAGAGGGAGAGAGGGGACAGAGAGAGATAGAGAGAGAGAGAGGTGACTCATTTGCAACATGCAGAGTGAGATCGCTGAGAAATAACTTTGTGCAAATGGAAACTTTGAGCAAAGTCAAGTCGAGTTCATTCACATGTGGGTGCTCCAAAGCACTTAAGTTCATATCCCAGAAGTACTTGTGCAAATAAATGTGTCTTGCAGCCAACTGTGTCTGGAGACGGTGAATTGGAGTGTAATGTGATTTCAATAACCCACCACGATGCCGCTGTTGATTTTGTACCCATCTCGCTCTTGATTTCCCTGGATTGAAGCGATATTGCAAAAACAAAGAAAAATCCCAGATTTTCAGGCGCAGGCGTTGGAATAGACAACATGGACATGTATCATAATCAGCAATTGGAGGAGCAGAGGAGAGGTTATGGCATCCCTCTTGTTTGCACAAATCTGCATTCATCTCCCTGGTTACATTAACCACAAACTGTACGGAGAATGTTTGCAGAGGCGAAACAGCTGACCCACTTCTGACTGAAACTGAGATTTTGAGGCACATTGTGTTTGGAGGAAATTAGCTTGTTAACCGCATAGAATAGGAAATCTTTGGCTTTATGGTTTATCTTTTTACAGGTTGTAAACAAAAAAGAGGAGAACAGGGTTCAGTAAATGTTGTTAGATGAGCAAGTTATTGTTGATTATGAAACTTGAAAGTACAGTAAGAGCATAACCTCAGGTGTACTCCGCAGCTATGTGATTGAAGAAAGACTTGTCATTTTAAAGGTTGTGAAATGATGTTGGGTGTGTTTGCAGTTCTCCTAGGATTGCTTTACTTTTCCTGTAACTTGGGTTTACTATGGTTGCTTTATTTGCTTTAACATTTCAGCTACATACAGTGCTTCTCTGCAGAATCTCAACACAGTTGTAAGTTCTTATTTTTCAATGTAACTGTTCTCACAGTGGCCGCTGTGTAAATAAATTCCCTGTGTGTCAACCCCAACCCTGCTGCATCTTGTCAGTGAGTATAGACATGGACCTTTGGGGTAATTGCCAGTGTATCTTGTTTTCATCAACACAAGGCCCACACAGCACAATCAGATATGTGTAGATGACCTGACACACGCACTATGGTTTCAACTAAACGAAAAGTAAGAAGATTCAAAAACACAATCCCAGCCATCTAAGAAAAAGAGTTTGGATTTTTTAACAGCAGAACATGCAGACATGTTTATTACCTCTGGCAAAGAGAAAGCCTTTACCACAATACTTGCGATGTTGGTCAGGAAAAAACCTTTTCAATTTGTGTTGTGTGTGTGGATCAGGGGGCGAATCAGAGAATATTTCATGGATCTTGATGAAAACAATCAGACATGTTCAGGGGCACAATCTGGTGCTCTCTGAATGCCATTCTAGGTGCACAAGCTAGTTAAATGAGCTTCTAGTTTTCAGTTTTACAAACTTGAAGGACTGCAGTTGCCATGAACAGTGAAAGAGGTGTTGCTTGTTAAAGCTGGCTAAGGTTCGTCCAGTATATGTGATCATAGACAAAATTCACAAACCTTTCCCTGTGCAAAAATGTATTCCTGGTTGCAAGATACATTTCTAGAATGAGCTGGGGAGCATCCTCAGTGATGTCCCTGGGGTCATTGAGACTTTCTGGTCTTTCATCATCAGACCCCCTCACCCAGCTGACCCAGCCGGGGTTGATCGAGTACCAGCTTGCATCCCAGCAGCAATAATCCACAGGCTTTCCCTCTTTATCCCAAGCCATAGTGGCTCGCTAAATATATCTCAAGCTCCGATGAGGCTTTTCAAAGTTTTACTATGAAATTAATCTTTTTGTTTCCACTCACACTGTTTTTATGTTAAGTTAAGTACAGGGACAGAAACATTACGGGGAATTTTCTCCTGAAACGATTTTAGCTTTGGAAGATAGCCACTCATTTGAACTAACTTATGACCAAGACTGCCAAAGCCTCTTATTATCTTCAGATAAACCTTTGAATACATTTCTGCACAGACTTAAAACCATTATTTTTTTCATTTACCCTGAAAGAACATAAGAAAGGAATTCTGTGTTAGTTTCCATATGGGCAGAGACTGGAAAAATTCCCTGAATGAACGTTTTAGTGTGTGTTGAAAAGCAGTGAAACTATAGTTTGCAAGTGGAGTCTTTGACAATTTCAGCGATAAAGGAAGATTTAGAAGATCAATGAAGATCAATGACTCAATTCCACAGCTGTTAGAAATGACCTTTCCCTTTTGATATTGCTGTTTTCGTCTGCCAGTGCTTACATAAACGCACTCTTACACACGCACACATATCCTGTAGAAGATTACATTCAAAGTCAGTTGCCCTGTGTGGGAGGAAAAAGGTGCCACTCTGTGTATTGGACACTCTGCCAAAGGAAAATCCCTGCTGACGAAGAGAGATATTCAGACTAAGAAAGAAAGGTAAATATCTCAGACGTCTCTGCTGAAGCTGCTCTGCTTACTCTGAGTCACAGTCTACACAGATGACTTTGGTCACAGTCAGACAGACTTGGAACTCCCACTCCTAAAATCACACAGCTGTGGTGCATGTGAAGGAAAATCCTCCACGGATCAAAGAAAATATTTAGGTTTGAAATGAGCCACACAAGTTTTGGTCATAATACAGACAAATATTTGCACAATACACACACAAACAACTACACACACATACATGCAGTGCTGTCATGACATTGCATTGACTTACATTTATTTCCTGGAGAATTACTCTCACAGTAACCATAGTTACTACTTGCCTAACCCAAACCCTGTACCTAACCTTGACTTAACCCTAAACCTAAATCTAACCTTTAAGCATCTCCGCACCTTAAATTTCTACTTACTTACTTTTTTTCCCCATATGGAATTTAAGTTTTGCATTATTTGACTGTGTAAACTGTCCCCACATGTCTCTCTATAGTTGACACTCATGGACATAATTTATTCCCTAGACCTTTACCCTAAGGATAAGACAAAATGTCCTCACAATGATGGTTTTGAACCAAAATGTGCCCTCGTAATTAATGATAGACATGCGCACAAACACACACACAACGTTGTTGACAAAAATCTAACCATTTTGGAGTCATATACTCATATACAGCATAGGACAGACTCTATGCACTTTTTTACAGTATTTGTTTCATTTTCTATGGCATTGGAAGCGAATGTATGAACTATGTCGGTCATAGAGCTACTTGTGTTTCTGTGGTCTGGGATTGTGCACATGAGATGGAGGAATATAATCTTCTGGCTGAGATTTGGAGCCCGTTGCAAATGCAGTGAAGGTAGAAATTCCTTTGTTCCCTGTGCAATAAACTTGCTCCATTTGCACATGTTATGTCAGCATATTAATTTTAATAACTTCAGTAGACCAAGATAATGGTGTTGCACATCTTAGCAACATACCTGCACTTTTATAGTCATGTACGTGTTATTATTATAGGTTTATACTGTACTGTTTTGATGTCTTTTATCTTGTGCACCCGACTGCAAGCCGCGCCTATAATAATAAAGGAATAAATGACTGAACGGAAATAAAAGATGTGACTAATGTTTAATATGAAGAAGAGCCCTCTGATAAAAATGTATCGGGGACGTTCCGGGAACTCCTCGGCACTGACTGTAATAAAACATATTGTGTTGTATGTATCCACACCACCACAGTAGAAGGCTTATTATGAATAAATAAAAATCATTAGCATACAGGAGAGACACAGCATCCGCAGCCATAAACTCTTATGAAACATAACATACATTCATTACACCCTCAACACTTGGGCTTCCAGACAGTTCTATGAAAAATAAAGTGACGGCTTGATCATGAAGTTATAATTAATCGTACATGCATGTTTTATACAGCCTTTTTGTTTTTCTGTCAACAGTAAGTTTCTGTTAAATGGAGCACCATCCATCACAACCTCTAATGCATCCATCCCTCTTTAATCTGTAATCACCAGCTACACACACACACACACAGGCCTGCCTAGGATCATTTCAGTGGAGTGCTGCCAAACAGAACGGAAATAATTGAAGTATACAAGTCTAACTAACTGAGAGGCAGATTAAATGGAGGTTCCCTCATTTCTGCGGGAAAAAAATTGAAAGTCTTTTAACAGCTATGATTCCTGAGGGGGTTACCTTATCGCTTCAGGGGTTCTGAGTGTGATGCCAGTTCACTGTCTTTCCGAGGAAATGTTGATTCCTCGTTTTAGGAGTGTTTCAGTTGAATTATATTTTTGCACTGGGATATTCAGACATAAATATGGAAGTAAACAACTAGAATGACACAGCCTTAATGCATTTTACTGCCACAAGATCAGCTGTAGTGAAGGAAAACAGTCAACTCTTTTTACTCCTCTTGCTATGTTGTGAGATTTTAAAGGAAAAAAAATGTTTGCCCAGCACAAGGAAACTCATGTCTAGATTTATCCATGAGGTTAAATACGGCATTTCAACTCTTCACTATGGTGAGCAGCTGATCCAGCAGTGATTAATGTGAAGTTTATTTATTTTGAATAATCTGTGTAAATAATCCTTTTTTTTTTCTTTTCTTAAGGAACATTTAGTATTAATTGTGACACACTATGCTATGATTGATTTCAATGAGATGCATTTTCATGGTTCCCAACTCTAACTAACCCGACTAAAATATGGATCTTTTGCTCAAGCCAGACAATGGAAGCAATGAAATTAGGCTCCTTATCTTATATTCTTCTGTTTCCACAGCAACAGGAGCAGGACCCCACCAACCTTTACATCTCCAACCTGCCGGTGTCCATGGACGAGCAGGAGCTGGAGAATATGCTGAAGCCGTTCGGTCACGTCATTTCCACGCGGATACTGAGGGACGCCAACGGCCTGAGCAGAGGAGTCGGCTTTGCCAGGTACACACAGACAGACCCACACACATGATTTTCTGTTCCTGCCACAGTTCCAGATAAGTGTTTCATCAGGAAAATCAGCTTGAAGTGTTTTTAAATGTTAGATTTTGCTGGAAAAACTACTGCATAGACTTCATAGACAAAATAACACTGATTCATAACCACACTTTGGTCCAAATTCATTTTTTAGACAATAGCAAGAGGCAATGTTACGCTTAGTTGACTCATGGTCATTTACAACTAACATGACTTTTAGCTCTAATGATACAACTCCACATTCCTCTACCCTTGGCCCCCTGTGCGTGTGTGTGTGTGTGTGGTCTTCTCGGTTACACCATGGAGTGTGCCAGTGATTAGAATGCAGTCAGGGCTCCATTCAGGGTCACTGGCTATGTGAAGAAAACCCAAGACGCACACACATAGACACACACATGCATGGTCACATACCACTTACTCTCAAACACACAATTTCTCTCTCTCTCTCTTTCCTGTCGTCCTTTTTCTCTCCAACACACACACACACACAGACACACACGCTGGCTTTTGCTTGCCAAGCAGGCAATTAGTCATTGAGCTGTGATTGGGTGAGCGGAGCTGAATAGGGGCAGACAAAGAGGACATGACACACAACAGATCAGACTGAATGGACCTTTTAAACAGGGACAAAGGAGAGGAAACCCCATTGAAAACACGCACACACAAACACACACTAGCACACTCTCGCATAGACACATAAACTGGCAGGTATTTAATGTATCTGCTGCAATGTAGGACACATCTGCATGCTGTTTTATGAAACCACAGTATCTCTTGTGCACATTGAATCGTAACAAAAAGAGCTGATTGTCCTCAAGAAGCCCCCATTTCTTTTTCTCTCTCTCTTCCTCTCCTGCTCAGGATGGAGTCAACGGAGAAGTGTGATGTGGTGATCCAAAATTTCAATGGAAAATTCTTGAAAACCCCTCCAGGCATGACAGGTAGGTGTCGTTCACTGAGAATCGTCTCGTTCTCTCTGTGCCGGTGTTTCTACAGTGAGAGTATGGTGTTTCTCTATAGTTTAGGGTGTTCATGTGCAGCATCTTTTACACAACTTCTTGCAGAGAGTTGCTCATCTCAAAGGTCAGATTATTTGAACCTGAGCTCAGTTTGCCACCAACCTTTAAATGACCCTCAGTAAGTTGTGAGGTTTTCATGTTGCGATAGAAAAAGCAACATGTCAAGTAACCGCTATGTATGTGCACCATGATGTGATGTTCTCACCATGATGATGTGAACAGCTTGTACCTAGCGTTTCATTACTGCGAGATGAAATTGAACCTTTTTTCAGCCTTAAGGCTTGGTAATGCCGCCTTTATGTACAGAGAGATACATCAGTTTCAAATGATGTGACCATCACTGCCCACATACATCAATCTGTCCTTCACATTGGAATAGTTGTTATGCAGTACATTCTCTCGAGGGCAGCACAGAGTCAAGAGTTTCTGACAACAACAAAAATGATGATGGGTCCTATAGGTCATATATATAGCCTGTAGCTTTTTTTAAGTCTTCCTCAAACATCCCGCCATCATTGAAATATCTTCGGGTCATTTGACTTGAACTGTTGACTACGCTGCCTCCCCACGATTTTTTGTGGTACTGCTACTATTGTGTCATGCGAAATGAGGATGCAGTTAATGCAGAGGACAAACAGAAGACTCCATATGTTCCCATATACTGTATGTACGTACAGTTGGGCGTATAGTGGGACTTTAGCTTAATAAAGGTATTTATCTTCTATCTTATTTTTTTTACACAAGCCTTGATTACATTGATGTGTACTGCTAAAATATACTGTCAATATAAAACTTTGAAATTACTATTGTGTAGTGTTTTTGAACATTTACAGCACAATTTAATAAAACAGCTATAATGCTGATATATTTTTTATCATATAATTATGATACCACATTTTCACACTATTTCATTCACACTCTGTTATGGACTTAACTTTGCAAAATATCCTGATTTGCTAGTTTAAAATAAGAAAATATAATATATACATAAAATCTGACCAAACACTGCATTTTGATTCTTGAAAGTGTCCAAACATGACTGTGTAGGTCCAATATCCAGTATTATGAAATTCTTTTCTTTTTATGCTCTATGAAGGTTGGTTTTCTTCTGCTATTAGATGCATTCACAATATATTTGTTTCATGGATGCTTTAGACTAACAGACAATTGTATACTGTGTGACATCAAATCAATTCAGATACTTTTTTGTTAGTAGTAGTTAGTGAACAAAAAATTCGGTACCTCCCATATCAGGAAATATCTGCCTAAGACCACCTTGAATTAATTTAGTAGGAAGGTCTTAGTGATTAATTCCTGCATTCTACAGGACACGGATTGAAGCGCACGCACAAGACACATGTTCATACACAGACAAACATCCCTTTAAGCAAACAATCTGTCTTGGATTGTCCACCAGAATAAACAGTAAAGAGTGGAAGAGAGCAGGGGAAAGGGTGGAGTACAGAAAGAAAGAGAAATGAGGACGAAGAAGGATGAGGGATGTGTGGGTGTAAAAAAGATTGATTTATACTGGATAGAGAGAGAGACTAAAAATGAGTGAAATAACAGAGCAAGGACAAGGTGGTGGAGGGAGAAAAAAAGAGCTGAGGTGGGGAGAAGCAAACTAAAAGTGACAGAATGAGGGAGAAGACATGGAGATAGAGAGCGATCAGATAGACAGAGAGAGAGAGAAGAGTGCATCACACTGAGGAACATAGAAATCAAGCAAAGGCAGAGAGAGCTGTGCCCAGTGCCCTGGCAGCATGATTTGTGAGGTAAAGGATGTTGGGCGACTCAGTTTTTCATTCGAACGCAAACACACACACACACACACACACACACA